TTCCTCGTCGGGCATCGGAGAGGGAATCGTTAAACTGTTCTCAATATTAGGGGCTAATGTTGTGGTCACCGGAAGGAAAGCACAGGACGTTCAACGAGTGGCCAAAGAGGTCCAGGAGTTGTCACCACTAAAATTGAAGGTAATTTGCTATAAAAATAATGAACTATAAAATGAGTTTCTGAACTATTATTTTGTTGACAGCCATTAGAAGTTGTGGGAGATTTGACCAAAACTTCTGATGTAAACAATTTAATCGATTCTACGGTCAAAACGTTTGGCAAAATCGATGTATTGGTCAATAACGCCGGTATATATCCGCCGACAAACATCACTCAAACAGATCTATTGTCGGTTTGGGATCAGATATTTGCCGTCGATTTACGCGCTGTCGTAGAACTCATCCACCGATCGGTTCCACATCTGGAGAAAACCAACGGAACTATTATTGATATCTCAAGTGTGGCATCACTCGCACCGGTATGTTATATAAGTATATTCCACTTATCATAACTGTTATATACTTCTATTATGTATACAAACAATGCTATGATTTTATAACTAAATTTTACAATGTTATGCTATTTGAATAACAATTGTTATTATTTACCAATATATATAACTATCTTTTAATTAGTTTTTTACATTATAACTATAAACTTATCTTATACTGATTAAATTAAAATAGATCAAAATTGAGCTAGCTTATGCATCGGCCAAAGCGGGTCTGGATATGTTGACCAAAATATTAGCCCTGGAATTGGGGCCCAAAAATGTTCGTGTTAATACTATTAAGTGAGTATTATTTTGCATCTCTCTCTCTCTCTCTCTCTCTCTCTCTCACTCACTCATAATTTCTGTCTAACCTTTATATCCACTTCAATAGTCCGGGTGCTATACATGTGAAAGACCCGCTGACACCCCTTGAAATCCTGATCGCAAAATACACGCCATTGGGAAGAGTGGGTCAACCCCTAGACATCGCCCGTGCGGTCGCATTCCTGGCCTCCACTGACGCCCAGTTTATAACCGGCGCTAATCTGGTGGTCGACGGCGGTATTATATTCAATGCCGGTGTTATGAATACATTATAATCTGTAACAATATTTTTGAAAATAATATAATTTCGACACATGTAATAGTTAATTTTTAATTATGGAATTTAGCATTAACCTGTTTTGTGTAAAATTTGAGTTATAAATAAAAATGGTTATTTTTAAAATAATTTTATTTATTACAATTGATATTTTAAAGATCATTGGTATTAATTAATTGGTATTTTATTATCTAAAAATCAATTTATATAATTTATTAAACCATAATATATTATATTAATTAAAAATTAAATTCTTATTATGGTAAATAAAATATTTAGTGGGATTAGTGATAAGCTCAGCACTGCTAACACTAGAGAGTGAATGATGCGTGAAATAATTGAAAACAAATTGTGTGACCACTTATTAGTGTTTTTTAATTGTGAAAAAATAAATATTTCAATAACTTTAACAAATTAATTACGGGCAATAAATAATCGATTTACTTTGTCTAGAATCTATTAATAAATTACCAAAATTCTTGTGCTACAATTAGTTTTTGTTTTATAAAAAATTAATTAAAAATGTGATGTATTTTGATATCAAATAAATCCAAAATATTGAGAAATTATTTGTAAACCTAAAGAAAATTACTATCAATAGCAGCACAAGAATTTTGATGACAGATTCTTAAACAAGAGGGAAAATAAGTTTGAATTTAACATTATGTTTATGGCTAGAATTTAAAATTTTGTTTAGTTCAGGTATATTTGGAATTAACAAGATTGTCACATCGACCTTATCACAACAAAAACTCCCGGAGTTGATAGATCTTTTAACATATAATTTAAATTTCTACTTTTTAAGATATTCGAGGTTGTTATGGTAAAGTACACCCTGTATATAAAATTAACCTATATACTGTATATGATTTACCTATATCAATATCAGTTATAAAGTACGATGGCGCCCCCTAATGCTAACGCTGGCCCCGCTGGCCTGGTCATCATTTAATATGGCAACGATAGACCATGGTTAGGGGTCTTTGAAAATGTTGTCCATATGTCCCTAAGATATCGGGTTCGGGAGTAGTGACTACTTTTATCGGGAAAATTACCTCTAATTAAAAATTTATTTGAATGATATATGTGTCATATTATATATCAATGGAAAGGATTTGATGAGAGGAATAGGGATCTGAAGGAATTCCGTAATTCGGATATCAGATAAAAAAGTTATTTGGAATTTTAAAAATGTATTACATTTTTTTGTACGTTATTTATGCTATAAACGTTATTTGTTGATGTGTTTTTAGTTATTTGTCTTTAGTTTTATCTAAGGACCTCTTATTGCAAATAATTTATATTATGTTAAATGGAGACCAGGCCAGCGGGGCCAACTTAGCATTAGGGGGCCGTCATCTTACTTTAGTAATTAACGTTAGTTAAACGTTTGTTTGGACTACTTTGGAACCACTTCACTTTGACTTCAATGCACTCAATATAATTAGAAAAGCCATTTCAACATTGTGGATTAAAAATAGTGTTAATGTGAGTTTAGTGCAACCGTTTGCCACACTATATAAACACTACAAATAATAACTAAAAATAATAAATTTATTAACAAGAATAATTTATTGAATTGCAGTTATTTTATATAGATTATTATTAAATATGAAATTATTAATAGTATTGTTGTGTGGATTGGTTTGTATTGTGAGCGCAGACTATCCTATAGAGGACTATAAGGCGGTCGCAAAGTCCCGGGACTTTACGGGTTCTGTGGTTGTAGTGACCGGTTCCTCGTCGGGCATCGGAGAGGGAATCGTTAAACTGTTCTCAATAATCTCTCTCTCTCTCTCTCTCTCTCTCTCTCTCTTTCACTTACTCACTTATTTATTCATCTGTTTAAACACGTTCATCAGTGCCGGTCCTACTCAAGTAACTGGAAAACCAATTCCTTTTGAAAAGTTGGCTCCAAAGGTGACGCCATTGGGAAGAGTGGGTCAACTCCTCGACATCGCCCGTGCGGTCGCATTCCTGGCCTCCACTGACGCCCACTTTATTACCGGCGCTAATATAGTGGTCGACGGCGGACTTGTATATAACGCGGGTGTTGTTAATGTCTAGTAAATGATATAGTAGTTTATGGTATGATTATTATAAGAATTAAAATCTATTTTATTGAATAATTAACTGTATAATAATTAATTTATATAATAAAAAATTTTATTAAAGAAAATTTTATTTTAAAATTACTAGAAACAAAATTGATACAAAAATACTAATAATTATTTACCAAAACGTTACTATTTAAAAAAACTAAAGTAGCAATTTTTATTCATTGCTCTATCTTGTTTGTTGAAATTTTAATATTAACTTTATAGAAAAAGGTTTAAGAGTTATTAAATTTCTAATTAATAATTGGGTACATATTGTAAACACTTTATATAATCAAAATAAAATATTTAACAATTATAAAAATATATATTATTTATAAAATCAATGTAAGTATCTAGATAATAATGATAAATATTTAATAAGGATAATATTTAAAAAGAATTAAAGGACCAATTTATTGGTAATGTGTTTAAATTTTAATAAATTAACCTTAGTTCGCACAAATGATAAATACATGCATTATGTAAATAATGTACATGTAAAGTAAAAAATTATAAGTGAAATAGGTGAATACAGTTAAAGATTTATATGCGGGAGTAAATGATTTTAAGATAATTTAAATAGCATTAGAAAGTGTTGTATTAATATTCCAATTAACAATCACTAATTATATACAAATTTACTTTAATCATGTTCTTTAAAATAGTTCAGAATTCGTTTGATATTTCAGTAATACATTTTAATGTGAATAAAATCACCTTGTATAACTCATATCGTATTTTGATAGAATATGTTTATTAAAAGTTATTAAATTAAATTATCTCTAGTTAAGGATTGTTAAATCTCTTAATAATAGTAATATTTTTTATCTTAAAATACTGGTGGACTAGTAATGCACTAAATTAGAGAACATTCCTTGACACGTTTGATAAAATGGTAGGTTAAAAGTGGTAATTATTGTAAAATTGTTACTATATAAAAGAAAATTAATTTTTTAAAGAATAATAAAATTCTACAAGGAATTAATATATTAAAATAATAATTGAATAGTTTATTTTAAAATATGAAATTATTAATAGCATTGATGTGTGGATTGGTTTGTATTGTGAGCGCAGACTATCCTATAGAGGACTACAAAGCGGTCGCAAAGTCCCGGAACTTCACGGGAAAAGTGGTTTTAGTGACCGGTTCCTCGTCGGGCATCGGAGAGGGAATCGTTAAACTGTTCTCAATATTAGGGGCTAATGTTGTGGTCACCGGAAGGAAAGCACAGGACGTTCATGTATAGCACCCGGACTATTGACAATATAAGTGTGAATATGAGAGAGGGAATCGTTAAACTGTTCTCAATATTAGGGGCTAATGTTGTGGTCACCGGAAGGAAAGCACAGGACGTTCAACGAGTGGCCAAAGAGGTCCAGGAGTTGTCACCACTAAAACTAAAGGTATTAATATTTCCAAACATAATTATCTAAAAAATCTAATAAAAACATTAATTTTTAACAGCCATTAGAAGTTGTGGGAGATTTGACCAAAACCTCTGATGTAAACAATTTAATCGATTCTACGGTCAAAACGTTTGGCAAAATCGATGTATTGGTCAATAACGCCGGTATATATCAAGTGACAAATATCACTCAATCAGACGTATTGTCAGTTTGGGATCAGATATTTGCCGTCGATTTACGCGCTGTCGTAGAACTCATTCACCGATCGGTTCCACATCTGGCGAAGACTAACGGAACTATAATTGATATTTCAAGTGTAGGCGGAATCGCACCGGTATGTAATTGGATAATGATTATATATTCTTTGTATTTTAAATGTACAAAAGTTCTGATTTAACTATTTATAACGCTTGAAAACAAAATATTACTTCATTTCTTAAATTAGATCAAGTCTCAATTAGCATATTCAACTGCGAAAGCAGGTCTGGATATGTTAACCAAAGTATTAGCCCTGGAATTGGGGCCCAAAGGTATTCGTGTCAATACTGTTAAGTAAGTATTTTATAACAAAAGTTATTGATTATATTAATATTATCCACATAATCTCTCTCTCTCTCTCTCTCTCATATTCACACTTATATTGTCAATAGTCCGGGTGCTATACATGTGAGCGAAATTCCCAACCCGTTTGAAACGTTGGCCGCAAAAGTGACGCCATTGGGAAGAGTGGGTCAACCCCTAGACATCGCCCGTGCGGTCGCATTCCTGGCCTCCACTGACGCCCACTTTATTACCGGCGCTAATGTTGTGGTCGACGGCGGCATTATTTACAACGTGGGTGTTTTAAATACAATGTAATTTTGTTGCAAATAAACTCGTTGTAATCACATAATTACTATTTTTTAAATGCTGTTTAATTTAATAAATATGCAAATGTTGACATAAAAAGCAATAATTTATATAACAATTTGTAATTACCCTGACCATGTACTTTTATATAGCCGGGTAAGTAGAATACAGGTACTAATGCTCCTATTTTTTATGCATCACCCGAATTATGGTTAACGTATAGCATTGCTGTTTGTGAGTTGTTTTTTACTAATAGTTAATTTAGTTTAAATTATACAAATTAATAGTTATGTTTTTTGTGACTAATGCATCCAAAATCCTAGCTTTAGTTAATGTCAAGAATTTAATTGATTCTGTTGTAGACGTTTTTAATATCACTGGTTTGACACTATTTGTACAAATATTATTTTACACCAAAATAAACAAACTTTTTATAAGCAATTCAGATCATATTTGTGCTATTATTTAAAACAGCATTTATTAAAGGCAAAAGGTATAAATTATACTGTATAATGTTAATGTGAATTAATTTGTTTGATAAACTTATATTACAGTATTTGATAACATTTATAGTTCAGGTAAAATTATATAGTTAGTAGGTAGGATACCAACTGGTCAAGGTTTGCCTTGATTTGCAGGTGAAGGGCGAGGGTCTCACATTGACATAGACAGGCCAAAGTGAGAGCAAATGTAATTACAGTATGTCTATTTTGGGTATTGAATGTAATGAACACACTATTTAAATTACAGAATAATATTTATTTCCTATTTGTATTATGAATTTAATATAATAGCAAAACAAACCTTTTATTAAAAATCTTTCATAAGAAAGACTTTTGTCTTGAAATAGCCCGTATCTTATATTGAAAATGCACTGTTTTATAATAAAACTTAATGTTATAATTAAATTAAAATTTACATTAACATTTTACTCATATTTCAAAAATATTTATGATCAAATATGCAATAATAATAGTGGTCAAGGTTTGGTCAAGATGAATTTTAAAAATTGTTGTATTTTTCAAGGAGGTAGTCGATCAGAGTTGGCAACACTATTAGTAGATAAACCTTGGTACTAATCTTTAAAACCACTTCATATTATATTTAGATAAAACAATTGACATCAATGCACTAAATTTAATTAAAAGGTTACTTGACACATTGTACATTAAAATACTGTGGACTTGAGTTTAGTGCAACAGTTTTCGACACTATATAAACACCACAAACTAAAAAATAATAAAATTATTAACAAGAATAATTTATTGAATTGTAGAAATTGTTTTATATTTTGTATTATAATAATTTATTTATTAATTATTATTATTAAATATGAAATTCTTAATAGCATTGATGTTTGCATTGGTTTGTATTGTGAGCGCAGACTATCCTATAGAGGATTATAAAGCGGTCGCGAAGTCACGGGATTTCACGGGGAAAGTGATTCTCGTGACCGGTTCCTCGTCGGGCATCGGAGAGGGAATCGTTAAACTGTTCTCAATATTAGGGGCTAATGTTGTGGTCACCGGAAGGAAAGCACAGGACGTTCAACGAGTGGCCAAAGAGGTCCAGGAGTTGTCACCACTAAAACTGAAGGTATTAATATTTCCAAACATAATTATCTAAAAAATCTAATAAAAACATTAATTTTTAACAGCCATTAGAAGTTGTGGGGGATTTGACCAAAAGCTCTGATGTAAACAATTTAATCGATTCTACGGTCAAAACGTTTGGCAAAATAGATGTGTTGATCAATAACGCCGGTATATATCCGCAAACAAACATCACTCAATCAGATCTGTTATCAGTTTGGGATCAAGTATTTGGCGTCGATTTACGCGCTGTCGTAGAACTCATTCACCGATCGGTTCCACATTTGGAGAAGACTAACGGAACTATTATTGACATATCAAGTATTGGCGCAATTGCACCGGTATGATTTTAAATATATAATTATTATATGAAAATTGTCGTTTATTTTTTATTAACTTAAAGTTTTAAGCAATTTGTTGAGACTTGTTAAAAATACTTTTTAAAATACATTTTATAAATATAATTGATATTTCAAGTATTGCCGCAATCGCACCGGTAAATAATATTAACATTGAAGAACATTAATCCAAATAACATATTGATTAAAACATAATTAAAATCAATAAACTTTAATAATAACAATTATACAATGTAAAATTCGACCATTATAAACGCAACATTTTATGTTATTTAGGTCAAATTTATGCTAGCTTATGCTCCAGCCAAAGCAGGTATGGATATGTTGACTCGAATATTAGCCCTGGAATTGGGACCCAAAGGAATTCGTGTCAATACTGTTAAGTAAGTATTTAACTCTCTCTCTCTCTCTCTCTCTCTCTCT